GCCGCGCGGATGTGGGATCCCATTTTGGGGGGTTTTGCCCCATAGAGTAGTCGAGGGCCACGCCCAGCAATAAATTGCTTTCATACATACACCCCCCCCTACATTTTTTTTCATCTTCCATCTTCTACCCTTATTTGTTTTCATCATTTTTCTACATTCCTTTCTGTCCATCTCATCCGTTTTTTTATCATCATTTTTCCAAAATTTTCGCCATCCTTTTCTCCTTCCTCCTCGCCTCATTCATTTCACCAACTACCCTCCAAAATGTCATTTCCTCAATCTCCTCACCTCATCCATTTCAAAAAAATAAATTTTGCAAAATATATTGCAAAAAATATTTGTCGTCAAAAAAATATTCGAACTGTCTAAAAACGATTTGTCCATTTCCCGGACAAAAAATAGAACAGCAACAACATCACTCCCTCCTTCGTTTCATCAGTTTCATCATATATTTTTTTGGGGCGTGGTCGCATAGCTTGCGAGCTTCGCTAACGCTCGCGTGTCCCTTGTAGGATTTTATCTTCAATATATAAAACGCTATACTTACATTATAATTATAACATATAAGGGTATAAATGTTATAATCATAGTATGGCTAAATCGTTCCAGAATCTTTGAAATTGGGACTGGAGTCCCCGAATCCCACGCATTTGGGACTGGAGTCCCCGAATCCCACGCATTTTCGGTCAGTGTTCCACGCATTTTGGGTCAGAGTCCCACGCATTTGTGGCTGGAGTCCGCGAAAATTGGGACTGGAGTCCCAGAATCAACCAAACCTCAAAATCCCTAATCCGTCAAACTCACTAAGATTTCACAAATTAATTCGCTAGGTATTTTGTATAAATCTTCCTGTTTATGTATTGTTGGATTGTCTCCCCATTGTTCCTTGTTTCCACTTGGCAAACGTTGCGCAGTTTCAATATGTTTATTATTCCTGATGTTACCACAATCCTTTTTACATAATTCTCTAGGTTTCCAAGTTGTAATGTTATTCCATAGCCTAGTCCTCTTTCTATAATTAAATCCATATTTACAATAATCAACATCTTTAAAATCAAACTCATCCATAAACTCCTGATGTTTTAATAATCCAGTTTGTGGATTTTCGATTACAAAATATTTAGGATTGAAATATTTGATAATCTCAATAATTTTTAAGACAATACTATTTGCATATTCGATATTCCTAATTCCCCTAGTTTTTGCTATGCTGTATTCAGTGCATGGGGGACTACTCCAAATAAAATCAAAATGGTTTCTGTCAAACTGTTTGTAATCCCACTCCAAAATATCAGTGTTGATATCAGCATTTTTCAAGTCTAATGATATTACATTAAATCCAAGCGACTTTGCTATGGTTCCGACGCTTTTTGTTCCGCTAAATAATTCTAATAAATTCATTTATTAGAATTATTTAGATATTAATTATTCAAATAATACATATACTCCATCATCATTTTTTGAAATTTTATAAAATTCTAATGTTTGTTGCTTTGGTTGTTTGGTTTTTCCTGTATTCAACATATCACAGTATTTCTTTTGCTTTGTAGGGTAGTCGCCCGATGGTCTTCCTATAGATTTTGCTTGAAATATCTTTTCGATTTTCTCCTTCTCTTCGTTGCTTTGTTGTTCGCGTTCAACTGGTTTAAGTTTTTCATCAATGGATTTAATCATATCATTTAAGTTTTTGATATTTTTACCAATTAATGTTATCTTCTTCATTAAATCATTAATAGTATAATTTTCATTTTCAGACATTACTATATATTTATTTAGATATTTATTTATTTAATTATATATTTTTCATCATTTGTTTAACAGTTTCCTGTGTTTCGTTTTCATTATTATCGGATGGTGTTGCTTGCCTACCAAATTTAAAAGTTATATTATGGACATCAGTTTCTAAGTTGATACTGTCTTTAGTTTTATCAATATTCATTTTCTTATCGTTTTTACTCAATTTGAAACTTGTTGGAATACATGAACATTTACAATTTTTATTATTTTTTATTTCTAATTCATTTTCATTTCTAACATCTTTTTACACATTGGACACGAAAACTCAATTACTGCTGTTTCTTTAACAATTTCTCCGCTATCTTCATCTGTTGAAGAAACACTTAAACCTGTCTTATTTTTGTTTTTCTTTTTCTTTTTCACCATTTATATTAATATTTACATTTTTATTTTTGATATATTGTATTCCTAGCTTAAGTATTTCTAATGAATAATAACACCATTTCTTAATTTTATTATCAGTTATTATTACTTGTTCTATATTCTCTACTTCATCTATTATATTAATATAATCTGTATAACTCCTATTCATATAAACAATAAGATAAAATAGTTATTTAATCTTATTATTTTCATGCATAATAGAATATTGGTGGGCACAGCACTTGGGTTTTCCATTGCACACGCGAGCAAGACACAAAACTAATTAGCTTCAATGCTTATTGATTGAAGTTGATGAAAGAGCCTGTTCTACTACGATAGTCACCATTCATATCATAGCAATGCTTTCATACAATAAATAATATTAAATTATTTTCTAAATATGTTTAATATCAACTATATGACAGATGTTCCAATAATAAAACCAATAAACATAACTGAATATGAATTCAAACAATCTAAATATGAGCACGTGCCAAAATTACCATTTAGAAGTATTATAGTTGCTTCTTCGACAGGCGGTAAGACTGTCCTTATTCAAAATTTAAATTCAAAATTTAATATTGAATGTTTATAGAAATTCATTTGCAAGAATATTTATATTTTCACCCAGCGTCCATAACGACCCTACATTTACAGAAGTTAAAACATATATCAGGGACGAATTGCACGTGGATGATGAAAAAGAACAAATTTATTTTGATAATTATAATCCAAGTGATTTAGAAAATGTAATTGAAAGACAGAAGAACATAATTAATTATATGAAATCTAAAAAGATAAAGAAACTACATTCAATATTAATCGTTATAGATGACCACGCAGACGACCCTAAATTTGTTAGATATAGTAAATTATTACATGGATTATTTACAAGAGGCAGGCACGATGCAGTAAGTGTGATTTGTTCAACACAAAAATACAATGTTTTAGCGCCTATCATTCGTTTGAATGCCAGTTCATTATATATTTTTAGGTTGAAAAATGCCAGTGAATTAATGAGTTTTATTGAAGAAAATTCCGCCATTGTTGACAAACAGCAATTATTAGATATGTATCATCAAGCCGTTAATTTTGCTCCATATTCTTTTTTCTACGTGAATATGAATTCAAAAGACATTAACAAAATGTTTCATATCAATTTTGAACAGGCATTTCAAATTACAAATGATGAATAAAGATATTCTAACTTAATATAATATAATAATATGCCAATGAAACTATGTAGATGTGGTGGATTTTATCGTAGAGGTAATTATAATTTTCATACTAATTCTTGGATACATAAACTTTATAAGGTGTTAAAACGACGACCAACAGACGAGGAATTATTAAGATTTCAAAATAATTTTGTTGATGAAAGATAGATGATATGTGTAGCAACGCCTCAACAAAATTTCCTGAAAGTGAAATGACAGATTATGATAGCAATTAATAATATTAATTATGTTTTAATATTATCAATTTAAATTAACGAAGCATTGCAAAATTGTAAAGCAGGAAGTTTATATATTAATTTGTCAGATTTTTCTTTTTCTATTTTCTCAATTCGTGCCACACATTCTTGAATAGATTTTATTATTAAAGTATCTGCTCTTGTTTTTTCATCTACTCTTAAAGTCTTAATGTCTTCCATACTGTTATTTGCATCATTTTTACTTTGACCAATACCCATTATATATAATATTATTTAGATTTTAATTTTTCAAAATTGAAATGTTGGTTTTCTTCTTCTTCATCTTCGTCTTCAGTTGGTGCTGGTATTTCTGTTGGACTTTCAGATGAAGAACTATGGACAGTAACAGGTGGAGAACTATGAACACTAATAATTTCATTAGAAGAACTACTGCTAGCTTGTGCATTTCCTGCTGTTATTTGATTGACTAAATCTGCGATATGTATTGTTGTTGCAATTGCACTATGTGATAAGTTTAATATGATATCTGCTATTGTAGCGCCGTTGTGTAGCATTATTTCTATCATTTTTGTCAGTTTGAACTTCTTTTCTTCTTCATCGCTGTCATCCTCGTCTGGTGGTTTCTTTGGCGGTGGTTCTGGTGGTTTGTTGTTGTCGAGCATTTTAGTAAAGGCTGACACCATTGCGTCGCGTTGGTTTTTCAATGTTTGTGTTGCCTGTGTTCTTGTTGGCTCATTTCTTTTGTATGTGTTGCGCCAAAAGTTTTTAAGCATTATTTGACACATATTGTCCTGGTTTTCCTTTACCTTAAATGCTTCAAATGTCATATTTAATGGTTGGTTTGCATCATTGTATAACTTTTCTTGCGTCTCTCTGGTTGCTGTAGCAATAGTATCTGTGTTGGTTGCAATGTCAACAAATTCTCTCGGTATGCCCTTTTTCATCATTTTCGGTGGTTGTATTGTTGTTGAAGTGTTTGGTTTCATTAGGTTATGTATTTTAAAACTGTCGTCATCATATTTATCATTGAATTTCTGCTTCTTTCTTTTCAGTATATTTTTAGTTAATATTATCATTAAATATACTTATATTATTATTATTAACTTTCACCGCTTCCTGCTGCTCGACTTGGAGGTTTTGCCATCTTTTTGGTAGTTGCTCCTATTACTTGTTGGGGTTTGGCGATATATTTGTAATAAACTAAGTCGCCATACATTTGGGCGATTTGGTCTGTTATTGGTTTCTTTACATCGCCTTTTGCATTCTTATGAAGTCTTGCTAGATGTGAAAATTCTTCAAACTCCGTTGCCTTAATTAGTTGTATAATATATAAATCATTTACTACCTTGCTCATTTCAGTCAAATTATTGGCAAAAATTCGTGGTTGTCTGTCCCTTACCGAATA